ATATTGCCCCCAACAATCTGGGCCTTCATTTTAACAACCTCAGGTGGTTGGAAGGATGTTGGCCTCATGGAACAAGCCAGTCAGAAAAAATGACCCAATGAGTCCATTGTCTTTATCGTAAAGCTACCTCAACAGAATCTGAAAGTACAATTCCCCACTCATCTCCTTTGCCACCAGAGAAACTGGGGAGAGTCTGAGTCTCTTGCCCCTCCCACTATCCATTAGCAGGCTGTGCTGTCTCTTATCTGATCCTTTTCTAGGAAGTGCCTCCTTGCCCTCCTCCCAAGGTCTTTCCCACACATCATTGCAAGAGGTTTCAATTGCTGTTTTAATCAATGCATATTTATAGTTCTGGCTTTTTTTAACTTCTCGGAATTTTCCAATCCTTTTCATTTGAGGGTTCTGGTTCTTTTCCTTATATTGCAAAATGAAATATTTTTGATAAGCTTTTTCATCTGGGAAATGGCACCCTTGTTTAACTTCCTGTTTTAAGGGCTAAAAGACAGTTGAGCAACCATAAAAACTGGCTGTGAAAACCTGTGTCTTATTATTAACCGTAGCTCACATATTACAAGATGACCGATTGGGATCTGAACCATATCACATTTTTTTCTATTTGTAGGTTTCTCTTTGGGCTCCACAGTGCAAGCAAAAACGAAAGGAATCTGGATGTGGTGTGTTCCCTATCCGGACAGGCCTAACCAAACCCTTGTCTTGCTGGATACTGAGGGGTTAGGTGACGTGGAAAAGGTGATTTTGTGTTTGTATATTTCTTTGTATAAAAGAATGCAATTACTTCTGTTTTCCCTTTGCTGGTTCTCATATGATTTGTCTGGCATTCTTGGCTATAAGACGTTGTTGCCATTTTTTAGCTATATTTGCTATCAATGCCTGATCATCTGCAAAGAGAAGTTCGTTGATATTATTTCCATTCTTGGGTTTTGCTTCTTTGCTTATCCTGTCAATGAATGTGATAAAACATTAGTAGTGATAGTTGTACTCCAGATGTTATTGTGAAGGGTTGTGATGTTTCTTAGTTTGTTCTGTTTGGACTTCTGCAGTCAATATGTAAGCTTTTGCATAATCTAATAAGATGTTCTCTTACTCCTATTCAACATGAGTCAACATTTGCCATCAACTCTTCCAATCAACTCTATTGAATGCTTTCTCTCAGTCTACAAATGTGAGAAAGAGATTCTTATTGTATTCCATATTCTTTTCTATTAGTTGTTTAAGCACAAAAAATGCAGTGTATTCTTGTCTCCCTTTAGGGTAGTTCTCAAAATGATACCTGGATCTTCGCTTTGGCCGTGTTGTTGAGCAGCACCTTGGTCTACAACAGTGTGGGGACCATTGATCAGACTGCCCTAGACAAGCTTCAGTATCCTTCTCAAGAATTGCTCTACTGCCTGCAATTTGGCAGTTCAAATCTCACCAGGCTCAAGGCTTCCATCCTTCCGAGGTGGATAAAATAAGGACCCAAATTGTTGGGGGCAATATGCTGACTCTGTAAACTGCTTAGAGAGGGCTGTGAAAGCACTGTAAAGCAGTATATAAGTCTAAGTGCTATTGCTATTGTATGCCAAAGGTGGGGAAATATGGCCCCTTTATGACTTGTGGACTTCAACTCCCAGAATTCAGCTCCTAGAATTTGGAAACATAATTTCCAAATTCATCCGCTGCATTTCCCCAGCATGCTAAACTTGGTTAGATTGAACATTGACTGGCTTATATTTCAACGTATTGTGGAGACATAGAAAATGGGTTGAGGCAATGAATAGGTGAGGTCTGTTATTAGAACCACATTACTTTTCAATGGGGATAACTACATATTAGACTAAAAAGTAAGAAGAGAATGTTGGCAAATAAATATAAATATGAAAACTGTCATTTCAAATCAGTAGTTTTTAGGGCCCAACCAATTGATGTGCTTCTCTTTACTTGATCGACCATGTCTGGCTCTGTTATAGAGGCAGAACTGGGCTTTTCACAGATATGTTTTCAATCAATCAATCAATCTTCTTTATTCATTGTATGTTGCTTGATTCCTAAACGGGGCCAACAGTTTTGTGACAGAGCTGTCTGAACATATCAAGGCAAAGGCTTCCTCCAGTCCTGAAGATACAGATGATTCTTCTGAATTCGTTGGCTTCTTCCCAACATTTGTCTGGTCCGTGCGAGATTTTGCACTGCAGCTGGAACGGGATGGGAAACCCATCACGGAGGATGAATATCTCGAACATGCTCTGGAATTAAAAAAAGGTACTGATGACAGATGCTGTGTGAAGATCCACTTCGCCGTTTGGATAAGAATTAGGAGCCATTTAAATTTTCCTTCTTTAGGGAGGCACAGAATAGATCTCAAGAGATAAAAAGAGTTGCCCAAGCTAGTTTGGTATAGAGATGAAGACACCAGCATAAAAACCAGGAAATTATAAGTTATACTATGGTAATTTAGGCATAAAAGCCATCTGCGTGACAGAGAATTGCAAAATAAGACTCAGCTGATATGATACAATAAAAATAATTGAACTTTGAAACAGGCTAAATAGACAACAAAAATACCCAGTAGGAATCTGTTCTTCTTAGGAAACCCATTTCAGTGTCAATAGTCATTGCACTGAAATAAAAACTGATTTGTCTTCCACAGTTGTTCCCTAACCACATTACCTGTTGGAAAACAAGCAACGGTATTATTTCTTCAATGCTCCGTTTTCTCAATTAATTCAAATTAAGGTTGCAATTGCAGAAGGCACCGCTTGGAATTTCAGATGGCAATTTTCATATACGTCATTGGCTGAGTCAACACTTTAAAAGACTAAATCACCCTTAAATTTGTACATTGCCTTTCCGCAAAATCCTTCTGGATGAATCACAGTAGAGTGTGATAAATAGAAATTATCCAAAAATCACAGATTTTAGAACAAGGAAAACTCACTTTATAGGTAGTTTGTTTTGTGACCGTTTGAATTTACAACATCACTGAAAAAAGGCGACTTATGGCCGTTTCACCCTTACAACCATTGCAGCCTACCCATGGACATAGGACCAAAATTTGGATGCTTGGCAACCGGCATGTATTTAGGATGATTGCAGCATCCTGAGGTCATGTGACCCCCCTTTTGTGAGCTTCTGTTAAGCAAAATCAATAAGGAAGCCAGATTCATTTAACAACCATGTTAATAACAATTGCAGTGATTCATTTCACAAATGTGGCAAGAAAAATCATAAAATGGGGCAAAACTCATTTCAGTGTGTCCCTGAGCAACAGAAAGTTAGGGCTCAATTGTGGTCATAAGTCGAGGACTATCTGTATAGATTTGTGGCCTCTGTAAGAAAGGAAGGGTGGACAAAATAAGAGATGGACAAAGTAAGAGGAGACACCTGCAGTTGGTAAGGATAACCACTAGATGGCGCTAAATAATAGCTATGAGAAAGGATATGGACAAAGTAGGAGGAGACACCTGCAGTTCATAAGGATAACCACTAGATGGCACTAAATAATAGGTATGAGAAAAAGGAGATGGACAAAGTAAGAGGAAACACCTGTAGTTGGTAAGGATGACCACTAGATGGCACTAAATAATAGGTATGAGAAAGAAGAGATGGACAAAGTAAGAGGAGACACCTGCAGTTGGTAAGGATAACCACTAGATGGCACTAAATAATGGCTATGAGAAAGAGGAGATGGACAAAGTAAGAAGAGACACCTGCAGTTGGTAAGGATAACCACTAGATGGCACTAAATAATAGCTATGAGAAAGAGGAGATGGACAAAGTAAGAGGAGACACCTGCAGTTGGTAAGGATAACCACTAGATGGCGCTAAACAATAGCCATGAGAAAGGATATGGATAAAGTAAGAAGAGACACCTGCAGTTGGTAAGGATAACCACTAGATGGCACTAAACAATAGGTATGAGAACTTTCCCCAGTGAAATGCCCAGATGCAATTCAGATTTACTTGCACCATGGAAATGTCGCTTTCTAGGTAACAGTAAGAAGAAGCAGATGTTCAATCTGCCCCGGAAATGCATCCGACTGTTCTTCCCGACCCGGAAGTGCTTCGTCTTTGATTGCCCTACTAAAAGTAGGAATTTACCCTACCTGGAAAAGATGGTGGATAATCAGCTGGAGCCTGAATTTGTGGAACAAGCAAAGAAATTCTGTTTTTATATCTTTGCGATGTCCCAAGAAAAGACTCTACCAGGCGGGCACGTTGTCACCGGCAACTGTGAGTCCTTCTAACTCTGTTATTGTTATTATGTTTGGTTGTATACATCTAGACCTCCACTTACAAAAATTCATTTAATACCGTTCCAAGTTACAATGTTGCTGAAAAAAGTGACTTATAACCCTTTCCCCACACTTATGACCGTTGCAGCCTCCTCATAGTCAGGGGATCAAAATTCAGATGCTTGGCAACTGGCTCATATTTATGACGGTTGCAATGTCCTGGGGTCATGTGATCTCCTTCTGATAAGCAAAGTCAACGGGGAAGCCAAATTCACTTCACAATTGTGTTACTGACTTAACAACTGTAGCAAGAAAGGTTGTAAAATAGAGCAAAACTCACTCAATGGGGTGTGTGTGTCTCACTTAGCAACAAATATAGTCTCCATGTGGTCGTATTCTGCCAGATGTTTACATTGGATTTGGCATTTTTGTACACCTATCAAGTCTTTCCCGAGAACCTGGGATAGGCAGATGTGCATATTTGATGATGTTAAAGATATTGTCACAGGATGTCATCTGTTGCAAGCAAAGCTGCCTTTTTGCAATTGACTGATGAAGATTTTGTCAATGCTGATGATGCTCAAGTGGTGCTCCAGTTTTGAGGTTGCATCCTGGGTGCCTATTACTCTTAGTTCCATCTTTGCTTTCTTTTGCCATAGTCATTCTATTTCTATTTACAGGTCTTTGTATTTTGTTATCTTTTCCAGTTCTTTCTCTTCTCTTCTGCTGCTTCCAGGTATTGCCTCATCCACTATTCAGACTTTTAAAAAATCTTCCTTATCAACAATTGTTAAGTTAATATTATAGGC